CATATGTATATATGTGTATATATATATATGTATGTGTGTGTGTGTGTGTGTAATATGTATATGTATATATATATGTATATGTATATGTATAATTTCTCTCTACACATCATTAATTTTCTTTCAGGATTCATTGCAGCCTTATGTACATTTATGCTGTGGACTAAACAATTAATAATTGTATATCTATACCTAATATCTGTAAGCGTGATATTTATATCATATTGGTCAAACGTTAGTACAATGAAAGCGATTATAGCTTACATGAATGTCCATGAGTCCACAACCAGCATTCTCGACAATATATTGAACCTGAATTTATCACACGTTCTGTACAATGGCCCGGGCTTTCTGATTATTCAGAACTATATATTACAATGCCTGTTGGCCAGCATCTTCTGTTACATACATCTCGCTCCAAGGCATCCTGTAGTTCAAAAGCTTCTTATGCTGAGCTTTATGGCGCCATCCATTTTGGGCATACATCCCTTACCGGTAAGCTTATGATATATTTAAGAAATTCGGCACTTTTCGTTGTCGTTACCTTTTTCTTTAACGAGAAGTTAAAACTTCTCGACCTTCGCCGCAGTCATCTTGTTTGATGATGTTAGAAACAAAAATATTAAAAATTCTTGCAAAATACGTTGAAGAAAAATGATATGTTTACAAAATAATACTTTGACAATCGATTAAGCAAATTTTTAAAATAGCCCGAACACTTCTTTTATCCTAACGATCAATAAATAGCTGTACAATTAACTTGTCAAAATCACAAAAGAAGGTAGATTAAAAAGAGAAGTCGCTTTAATTTTATGGTTATTTATTGATTGTTTGAACAAAAGAGAAGTGTTCGAGACTATTTTACAAGTCTGTTTGGTCGATTGTGTCATTTTATAGATACATCTTTTTATTTTAGTATATTTTGCAAGAGTTTTTAACGTGTTTTTCGTCGTTTCTGACTTTACCAATCAAGAGTTTTTCGGCGAGAAAACAGGAGTTTTAGAGATTCGTTGAAGGAGAAGAAGGCGCTATTTCATTCGATATACCGTAATGTGAAACGTGTTTTTAGGTACAATATTTATATCATGCGCCAGTATGTGCAACGTTGATCCCATTGGCTGTGTGCAAATTTATCATCTGGTACAATGGTATCACAATGATTAAAACGATCTACATGGGATGTCAGCACGCGCGAAGTTTCATACTAAATTACGGCTTTTCCGCCCTCGCGGAGACTGAGTGGATGCGTCTGAATGTGCCATGTGTACTTCGCACATTTTGGATGCTGCGAGTGGGAGAGCAAATCGTACAAATTCTCGGGAATCACTACAGCGAGGAGACATTCAATTATTACGTCATGATCAGGACGCTGCTCGTGAACGGTTGTGAGACTTTGACGGCTGTTCTCGGCATGACCAGCATAATCTCATTCATCTGCCACTATATCGGCTGCTTCTTCCAATGGGTGTTATTGACGGAGGATGAGGATGAGAAGAGCATAGGCACCGTGTCCGCCATATTATTCTACATTCTCGCGCTGCAGACAGGACTGACCAGTCTCGACCGGGAGAAGCGTCTAGTACGACTCTGTCGTAATTTCTGCCTGCTGTTCACGGCGATCTTGCACTTCGTGCACAACATAGTGAATCCGCTGTTGATGTCGCTTAGTGCTTCTCACAATCCGGTCCTACACAGACATTTACGAGCTTTGGCGGTCTGTGCTTTTTTGATTCTTTTCCCAGTGTCATTACTCGTATTCCTTTGGTCTCACTTTACAGTCAGCACATGGCTGCTGGCTGTATCGGTTTTCAGCATCGAAGTGATAGTTAAAGTATTGGTATCTCTGGCTATATATTCATTGTTTTTGATCGATGCGTATAGAAGCGCGTTCTGGGAACAATTCGATGACTGTGTGTATATTATCAGATCATTCGGGAATACTGTCGAATTCGCTTTTGGCATCATACTATTCTTTAACGGATTTTGGATACTAGTGTTCGAATCGGGCGGAGCTATCCGGGCGATTATGATGTGTATACACGCGTATTTCAACATTTGGTGTGAGGCGAAGGCTGGATGGAGTGTATTTATGAAGCGACGAACGGCTGTGAACAAGATTAACTCACTACCAGAGGCGAGCATCGAACAACTTCGGCGATTAAACGACGTATGCGCCATTTGTTACCAGGAGATGGAGAACGCCAAGATTACTCAGTGCAACCATTATTTCCACGGCGTATGCCTGCGAAAATGGTTGTACGTTCAAGACCGGTGTCCACTTTGCCACGATATATTGTACACCGTTGAGAATGTGCAAAATAGGGAGGGCGGCGGTAATCCCGCGGTTGCAAGGAACCACGAGGAAGACGACATACTTGCGGAGGCCGAACAAAATTTTCAGGCGCTGTTCGCTCCAATAGATGAACCGATACAGCGTCCAAATGAGAACAGGCGAAACGGCTTTATTATGATATAATACAAATGGACATTAAATAAACGAACTCACAACTTACATCACGAAGCGTCTCAGTGTCTAGAATCTCGCTCGGATATTTTGTTCTTTGTAAATTGCTCCGACTCTGTTGTAATGATACCTCGTGACTTGTACGTAGTTTATTATATACGAAGTCAAGCTTTTCGTCCAATTTCTTGTAAAATCGTGTAAGCGAGTTGGTGATACTTGGAAATTATACTTAGAGAAGAAATTATGCGATAATACTGATATATAAAATGAGGAAACATTCCGCGAATAATTTTAATTTGTAATTTTGCTCGATTGACTCAGTAACACATATTTTTTATTATCACTATATTATAATTTTCATATGGTGCATAGTAATACGAGCTTCCATGTACATGAAAATAAGACTCCATTAATGCAGTCTCGAAAAATTGAGATATTTAATTAATTAGGCGCAACAATTCTAAATATTCGTGCATTATGACTATGGACTATTTAAGAAATAGGCTCCAAAGCAGCAATCTGTCATCATATGTCGGTTGATAGTTTTACATTAACTTATGTAATGCAAAATATAAAAAAACGACGGATAATTAACCTAAACGGATTGGTACCCAGTTTAGTAAAAAGATGTTTCACAAAATGATATAAGTAGCGAAATGGAGGGAGAGAAGCAACAGAAGGAGAACCACCACGTCGTAAGTATTGAAATTAACTCTGTGAGTATAGAAATAATATTTGTGTAAAATTATTCTTAGAGCATAGACACGGACGGTGATTCTCTATAATCTATATTATGACAGATCGCTGCTTTGGAGCAGCTTTGCCGATTGCTTGAATGGTCCATAGTCATGATGCATGAATATTTAGATTTGTTGGCAATTTGACTGGACGATTCGATATTTCGATTTTTCGAAATTGGACTGCATTAATAGAGTCTGGTGTACACATACGTATGTATATCGTGTGTGCTTCCTCTCTTTCATTTGTTTTTTTCTTTTTCATTAAGATTGCATTTCAAAACGTTTTTTTTTAAGGAAAATTTTATTCAATACCTATAGTTCTCATATATTATAGAGAATTGAGTGAAATTTTTTCAAAAAAGGCATTTTAAAATATAATAAATATAACCTAAATTGATATGGTCTCACTTCAAGATTTTTACTCTATCTAGAAATTATACACGGAAGAGAAGAGATGCTAATTTCGATTTTATTGCAACAAATATGTTATTATAAATTAGACGCACGAATATAATTCGATATGTTTAAGTATAGTGTAAGGATAAAGAAGACTGGAGCAAATCGTTTTATTTCGGAGTGTGAAGATGCTATAGTTTCTGTCTGCCAAACTGACTGCAAACAATTACAGAAATAACATCCTATACATTTCATTGTTTTATTTCGTTTTTATAAAATATAAAAATTTAGACTTAGATCATATAAGATTATTTATCAGTGTTAAAATTAAAGTCGATAACACTAATGCAGTATCTCGGACGTATATTAGTGACTGTGCTCAAAGTAGATAAAAATGCATCAAGTCGATAATCTATATCAACTTCCTTTAAGCCTAATTTAAACAGTCTATAATTCGCGACAAATCTTTCTCGAAATAGAATTGTAATTGTAATTTTACTAGATGTCTTATAAATTTGACAACAATTTGAGAATTTATAGCTATATATATATGTATATATATCGCGAATTATAGGTCGCCTAAAATGGGCTTTAATTATTGCTATATTTTGCGCATAATTGGTGATCATTGGTGTTTTGAACAGATTGCCATTTGAATACAGAATAATTAAAATATTATATATATAAAAGTTATAAATCATTTATTTTTATTAAATATTGTAAAAATTATATATTTATATTTAAAATTATTGGATTTTATTAAATATAGCAGTGCAAATTCGATAACTTATGCACTCTGTAAAGCAAGGTACTATATATGATAGTACATCAAGGTACTATATATAATAATGTAATTAATAATGTATAATAATTGAAAGAACATTCTATATACACGTGCATATCTACTTTTTTCGTTTCTCTGCTTAGTGTGTAAATTTGTGTATAGCGGTTAGAGACGCGAAATCGCAACGAAGCTTTATATGTTAATAATTTATATGTTCTTATTTTTAAAAAGGATACTCTTTTCTACACTAATTATATAGTAATATCATAGCCTTAAACATAATTTTATTTCATGACTTGAGAGAAAAGTTAAAACGATTGTTGACAAATTAATTGCTATGTCTTTTTCGCACTTTTAATAAATCATTGTCTGTTATTACTACTTTAAAAATAGTCAATTATAAATTCATATGATATATTTTTAATGATATATACAAAAAGTATACAAAGATTTTGTGATAAATAAAAAGGTGACACATGTACATACACGTGCGCGTGCGTGCGTGTGTGTTCAATTTAATTTACTACTATATATTTTATTGATCGCCGTCTTACCCTCAGCTTAATTAGTTTACCGAGAAGTTATATAAATTTATAACGGAAAGTTCACAGAGAGTACGTTGAATAAAGATTACATTTTTAAGAATTTAACCATTTGTTCTTTCACCTCACGAACATAATTCTTAATCCTGAATAAAATCCTCTGAATTCAAAATGCAAAAACGGTGATAATTTTTAAAAATTAGCTTCCTTGAGTAGCGCGTGGAAAAACAGTAATAATAAACAATAATATTTCTTTCGTGACAGATTTATGTCTTATATTAAGGTAAAAGTACCAATTCCTCCGACACATATCTAATTCTGGATATTATTATTTTAGTCTTTAAATACGAATATGTAAATTTTCAAAACTTAGAATGTATGTGCTCAATATTTGTATATATTTTTATGTTGAAAATTTAAATATTTATATTTTAAGACCAAAACAATAAAAATATACAGGATTAGGTACATTACTTTTGTCTTAGTGCACACAGGAAAGTACATACAAATAAATGTTACTTGTTTTACGAATATTTTATGAATTTATATATTTGCAAATTTATTATAAGTTTATCATAAGTATCAAATTGATTCAAAATATATTCTGAATTCTTAATTAGCATTCTAATCAATAATATTAAATTAAAAGAAAACTTTGTTTTAGTTACTATATAAAGTCAAATCAACTTTTTCTCTAAATAAAGTTTTATAATATTTTATACTCTCTAAATTTTTTAGAGTGAAATTTCACTTGAGAAATAGAGTAACAGCCAAGTCATTCGAATTAGAATGACCTCTCATTCTTATAAAGTGAATCCTTATACTCTACCCTACTGAAAAATTTCTATTGAGATCACAATTGAATTCCCAATTGAATTCTCAATTAAATTCTCAATTGAATTCTCAGTTGAGGTTTCCGCAAAATTTCGCATGTAAGATCTCAATTGAGATATTTGTATCTGATGGAAATAATTCATTGAAAATATAATGAACTTTTGCTGAAATATGTTTGAAAAGCATTCACAATTTTGACCCAATTTCATTAAAATTTCATTATAATTTCATTAATATTTCGATAATATTTTATTAAGAGAGTAGAAAAATTCAGTGAAAAATTATTATTAATTAAAATATTTAGAAAAGTA